GGGGTTAACAAGACTAATCAATTAAGGTGGGCTATTATCAGCAGGAGAAAAAAAAAACTTTTGTAGTGATAATCAAGATGGCCCATTTCAAACAGTTGACAAGAAGGTGTCAATAACAGTAGGTGAAAAATTAGCATGGGGAAATAGTTTTTAGTTTGTGTAATGACCCATCCACTCCCAGTCTTTATTCAAGCCTAATTTAATGGTATCCAGTTTGCAAATTAATTCCAGTGCTGCAGTTTCTCGTTGGAGTCTGGTTTTGATGTTTTTTTGTTGAAGAATTGCGACTTTTAGGTCTGCAATTGAGTGTCCAGGGAGACTGAAGTGTTCTCCTACTGGTTTTTGAATGTTATAATTCTTGACGTCTGATTTGTGTCCATTTATTCTTTTGTGTAGAGACTGTCCGGTTTGGCCAATGTACATGGCCCCTCTGCCATGACCAGTAAATGGTCTCCCCAACTTCTGCATGTCCTGCTCCCTCCCCTTTCCACTGCACAGTCAGGCAAAAGCCCTGCTTCCACAACCCCTTGACAATCCCCTACCTGAGCTGGCTTCACGGAATCCATTTCCCGTCCCTTGGGAAAAGGTGACAATCCGGAGTGAATCTGGAGTGAAACCTGGTTGTTACTCTGCAGCCTGTTAGGGTGAAAAGGGCATTGAAGAGGTCTCAGAACGGGCTTCAGTTCACTCCCTGATTCCACTGCCCAGGCCCTACACACTTCATAGAATCATAGAATATCAGGGTTGGAAGGGACCTCAGGAGGTCATCTAGTCCAACCCCCTGCTCAAAGCAGGACCAATCCCCAATTTTTGCCCCAGTTCCCTAAATGGCCCCCTCAAGGATTGAACTCACAACCCTGGCTTTAGCAGGCCAATGCTCAAACCACTGAGCTATCCCTCCCCCCCGCTCAAGGGTGTGACAAATCACCCCCGAGCGCAGCAAGTTTCAGTGCAGTAACTTGCCAGTGTAGACAGGCTCCTAGTGCTGGAAGCTACGCCCCTCGTGGAGGTGGTTTTCCTACAGCGCTGGCGCCGCGACCACATTATAGCATTAAAACGCTGCCGCTGTCAGTGTAGACAAAGCCAGACACTTAGACTCTTCACGCTGGGAAAACCCTCACTCTTTTCAATTGCACTGGTGACCGGGATCATCCTGTGAACTTGCTCCCACCATCATTTTCCAAAAAGAAAAGGAGTACTTGTGGCACCTTAGAGACTAACCAATTTATTTGAGCATGAGCTTTCGTGAGCTACAGCTCACTAACACGGCTGTTACTCAGAAACCCATCATTTTCCAGGCATTCCCCTCCTGCCCATCCCCCAGGTGAACGTGCAGATGGCATCTGTGGCACAAAAGCAGCTTTGTGCACATGGAAACCTCGCAGGGGATTGCCACATTTTGGGGGGCCATGAGTGTCTATTTTGCCTCTGATTTCCTGGTTTCTATGGGAAGCCACTAAACCAACACTCCCGCCCTGCCCCTCAGGGGCAGTCAATAGGTGGACCACGGACCACATCTGGACCCACCAGAAGCTTTTGAATGGATCGCAAAATCTTTCTATTTCCTTATTATTGTCGCTATTGTTATTGCGGTGTGGAAAATGTTTGGGGTCTGGCAGGGTCTGTGGAGAAGAGGGGGCGGGGCAGGGTCTGTGGGAGGCAGTCTCTCCGCATGGGGGCGGGGTCTGTGGGGGAGTCTCCTCAGGTGGGGGGCGGGGCAAGGTCTGTATGAGGTGGTCTCTCCTCATGGGAGGGGCAGGGGGCGGGGTCTGTGGGGGAGAGGGGGCGGGGCAGGGTCTGTGGGAGGGAGTCTCTCCCTGTGGGCGGGGCAGGGGGCGGGCTCTGTGGGGGAGGGGGCGGGGCAGGATCTGTGTGAGGCGGTCTCTCTCCCTGTGGGAGGGGCAGGGGGCGGGCTCTGTGGGGGAGGGGGGGGGGGGAGAGGGGGCAGGGCAGGGTCTGTGGGGGAGAGGGAGCGGGGCAGGGTCTGCGGGAGGCGGTCTCTCCCCATGGGGGCGGGGTCTGTGGGGGAGTCTCCTCAGGCGGGGGGGCAGGGCAGGGTCTGTGTGAGGCGGTCTCTCCCTGTGGGAGGGGTGGACGGCGGGCTCTGTGTGGGAGAGTGGGGGCGGGGCAGGGTCTGCGGGAGGCGGTCTCTCCCCATGGGGGGCGGGGTCTGTGGGGGAGTCTCCTCAGGCGGGGGGGCAGGGCAGGGTCTGTGTGAGGCGGTCTCTCCTTGTTGGATGGGCAGGGGGCGGGGTCTGTGGGGGAGAGGGGGCGGGGCAGGGTCTGTGGGAGGGGCGGGGTCTGTGGGGGAGAGGGAGCGGGGCAGGGTCTGCGGGAGGCGGTCTCTCCCCATGGGGGGTGGGGTCTGTGGGGGAGTCTCATCAGGCGGGGGGGCAGGGCAGGGTCTGTGTGAGGCGGTCTCTCCTTGTTGGATGGGCAGGGGGCGGGCTCTGTGGGGGAGAGGGGGCGGGGCAGGGTCTGTGGGGGAGAGGGAGCGGGGCAGGGTCTGCGGGAGGCGGTCTCTCCCCATGGGGGCGGGGTCTGTGGGGGAGTCTCCTCAGGCGGGGGGGCAGGGCAGGGTCTGTGTGAGGCGGTCTCTCCTTGTTGGATGGGCAGGGGGCGGGCTCTGTGGGGGAGTGGGGGCGGGGCAGGGTCTGTGGGAGGGAGTCTCTCCCTGTGGGAGGGGCAGGGGGCGGGGTCTGTGGGAGAGGGGGCGTGGCAGGGTCTGTGTGAGGCGGTCTCTCCCTGTGGGAGGGGTGGACGGCGGGCTCTGTGTGGGAGAGTGGGGGGCGGGGCAGGGTCTGTGGGAGGCGGTCTCTCCCTGTGGGAGGGGCAGGGGGCGGGCTCTGTGGGGGAGTCTCCTCGGGCGGGGGCGCGGGGCGGGGTCTGTGAGGGAGGCTCTCAGGCAGGTGAGTGGGAGGTGGGGGGAAGGGCCGCACTCACCGGTCCGCAACGGCTGCGCGCCGCGCGCCGCCAGGCCGAGCCCCGCCCTCCAGCCCGTTCGCCGCCTGACCCAGGCTTGACAAGCGGAGCGCCGAGCTGCTCGGCCCGCCGGCCGACGTCTCTGGCTGCCGCTTGCAGCCCTGAAGGCTCTGTCTCAGCCCACGCTGCGCCCCCTAGTGGTGAACACGCCCGCTGCAGGGCGGGGGGCGCAGACACGAGGCCCCTGGGTGTCTCCCCCGCTCAGTTCCCACCTGCCCGGGGCGGGCTCTGCGGGGGGGGGTTCATGGTTCAGGCGGAGGAAATGCAGCCAAAGGGCTTGGAGGGGGGCAGGATCGGGCTCCAGCGGGCTCCCCCCCCCGTGCGGGGGCGCAGACAATGGGCAAGGCAGGGGCGCCCCCTCAGTGGGGGAGCAACTTTAACCGGGATCCCTTTTATCCCCCCCCGCCCCGCCCCGCACAGCATGCAACATACAAGTCTGCTGAGTACTTTGCAAAAGAAGGACGTTTCCATGGCAGCTCCGCTCAGCGCTCCCAGGGGCGCCAGCCTCCAGGAATCAAGGTTCATCTTTAATTAAAGATCGTGTCGTGTGATGGGCCCCCCAGGAATACCCCATCCCAAGCTGGCCGCCCTAGCAGAGGCAGAACCAGTGAAGGGACTGAGGGCAGACGTTTAGGGACTCATTACCGGCACGTTTCCCAGTGTGGACTTTTAAAGGGGTTTGGGTTCCCAGGTCGGCGTCCAGTTTCAGCTGGAACTCCTGGTCAAAAAGTGACCCTGGCAGCTCCGGCCTTTAGTCGGCAACACAGCAGGGCTAAGCCAGGCTCTGTGCCTGCGTTGGGCATTACCCCTCCAGCTCCTACGTGCAGGGACAGCCAGGGGGCTCGGCCTGCTGCCCCTGCCCAAGTGTCGGTTCTGCAGCTCCCATTGGCTGGGAACAGTGGCCAATGGGTGGTGCCTGTTGACTGGGCACCGTGCAGAGTCACCTGGCCACACATCCACCTGGGAGCTGGAGGGGTGACATGCGTCTGCTTCCGGAAGTTGCTTGAGGTAAGCACCTCTGGGAGCCTGCACCCCTCACCATCTCCCACGCCCCATCCCCCTGCCCCATCCCCTAGCCCCCTCCCACACTTCAAACCCCTCAGCCCCAGCCCGGAGCCCCCTCTTCCACCCCAAATCCCTCATCCCCATACCCACACCAGAGTCCGCACTCCCAGCCGGAGCCTTCACCTCCTCCCGCAACTCAATCCCCTGTCCTGCCCAGCACGGTGCAAATGAGCGAGTGAGTTCAATCACTCTGGAAAGTCCTGCTCGGGGCGACTGGTCCCTGGAAAGATCTGCCATTGCAACCACATGCCATGTTTTCTCAAAAGCTCAAAATAGGAGAAGACAGGGACTACTTCTAGCCTCCATCAGCATCTATTATGAGCCTATGTAGTTTCTTAAAAACAGCTAGTGGCCTACCCAGCATCTCTGCTCTCACCCTACACATACCGTCTCAACACGCCAGAAATGTAATTATCCCATGACAGGTGGTTGCATCCTTGCCTCAGGTAAGAAAATTAGGGAGGAAGCCAATGTGTTAAAGGTCATGGCTTGTCTTAGTTTCTTTTCACCTAGGGACATAGGACTGGAAGGGACCTTCTGGGTGACAGAGTTCAGTCTGTGCCATCGCAAAGAACCCCATATATAATCTCGTTCGCAAACTTTTCACAATCCCTCCTTGAATAGGTTGTTTCCCCCGGCTCCCCCCCACCCCATCCGATTCCAGTTGGGAGGCTGTTCCAGAAACTCACTCCTTTGATGGTTAGAATTGAAACCTCCTCCTTATTTCCAGCTTCAGTGTATTTATTGCCAGTTTATACCCTATACCCCTAGAAGGAAAGACCTGCATTGCCATCTTATCTTCATCAGTTCCCTCTAGAACAAAACACTGAATGTTTGTGCTAAGCCAGAATTCTCATTTCTCCATGGTACAGGGAAGAATTGGACCAGCTTAGCTAGCTACAGGGGGACCCGGTGTATTTCTTTTCAATTGGAGGTAGAGGTAGAGTAGGATAGGAAAGATAAAGAAGAGTCAGTCACAGCAGATCACCTGCCTAGCCATGATCACCAGCCTGAGTTCTGGAGGCACTGTGGCAGAGACGGCAATTAAGAAGGGGAAGGAAGAGGTAGCGGCTGCTTGGGTTTTATTAGGGAGCATTTCCCATCCATGCACAAAGGGCAGCATGGCAGGCAGAACAGAGGTGTTTACGGGAGATGCTGCATCATAGGCTAAAATGCAGACGCATTACCCTGATCACACTTCAATCTCTGGCTGAGACAAAACACCATCCAATGTCCATTGATGTCCTTAGAAAGGGCAGCAGCCTCTAGACCGTGCCCTCAGTTATTGGAGAGTTGCGGGGGGGACACAGTCTAAGGGAAGTCCCTACAGACCAGACCCAGAAGAATGGGTAGATCTTCCCCTTGAAGGAGGTAGTGAAGGTGTGGATGGGGGCCATGGTGTCTGCATCATAGAAGCACACAACCCCACCTTCATAGTCCAAATACACTCTGATCATTCTGGGGCTCTGCGGCGGGTCCAGCGGGCTCCAATCTGCAGTGACTTCCCGGTACTGGCCCATGGAGAGCTGGATGGCCCAGGTTCCTTGCTCGGGACTGAAATTGAACCATCCCTTCCTGCTGGCGGACTTCTTAGTGACACCCAGAGCCCAGCCCCCTGTGTCGGCCACCTCCATGTCCCAATAATGCGTCCCTGATATGTAGCCATCAGAGCCCAGCACACAGGAGTAAACGTCGAATCTCCCCGGGTCATTAGCCAGAGCCAGCCTTGTGTTTGTGGCTGTCACACTTCTCCGGTCCTTGGAAAGGGTCAGACTGGGGTGAGCTGTGTCTGGGTCCAGAATGACATCCTCTGTGGAGAGAGACAACCCAGCAGGGGAGATCCTAGGCTTACAGATAGAAGCAGCAAAGCCTATTGCAGTAGCTCAAACAAGAGCTCATCCATTCCCCTTTCCCAGGCTCTGGAAACTAACTACAGCAGGGAGGACCCTGGGCAAAGATTCTCATAGAACATAAAAACATTTACAATTAGGGCTGTTGATTACTCGCAGTTAACTAACGCGATTAACTAAAAAAAAATTTTTTTAAATCACATTTAATTATTTGTGATTAATCACAGTTTTAATCGCACTGTTAAACAATGGAATACCAATTGAAATTTATTTAATATTTTGGATGTTCTTTTATCTACATTTTCAATTATATTGATTACAATTACAGCACAGAATACAAAGTGTACTGTGCTCACTTTATATTATTATTTATTACAAATATTTGCTCTGTAAAAATGATAAAAGAAATAGTATTTTCCAATTCACTTCATAAAAGTATGGTAGTGCAATCTCTGTATCATGAAAATGCAACTTATAAATGTAGGTTTTTCGTTACATAACTGCACTCCAAAAACAAAACAATGTAAAACTTTAGCACCTATAAGTCATAGAATCATAGAATATCAGGGTTGGAAGGGACCTCAGGAGGTCATCTAGTCCAACCCCCTGCTCAAAAGCAGGACCCATCCCCAATTAAATCATCCCAGCCAGGGCTTTGTCAAGCCTGACCTTAAAAACTTCTAAGGAAGGAGATTCCACCACCTCCCTAGGCAACGCATTCCAGTGTTTCACCACCCTCCTAGTGAAAAAGTTTTTCCTAATATCCAACCTAAACCTCCCCCACTGCAACTTGAGACCACTATTCCTTGTCCTGTCCTCTTCTACCACTGAGAATAGCCTAGAACCATCCTCTCTGGAACCACCTCTCAGGTAGTTGAAAGCAGCTATCAAATCCCCCCTCATTCTTCTCTTCTGCAGACTAAACAATCCCAGTTCCCTCAGCCTCTCCTCATAAGTCATGTGTTCCAGACCCCTAATCATTTTTGTTGCCCTTCGCTGGACTCTCTCCAATTTATCCACATCCTTCTTGTAGTGTGGGGCCCAAAACTGGACACAGTACTCCAGATGAGGCCTCACCAATGTCGAATAGAGGGGAACGATCACGTCCCTCGATCTGCTCGCTATGCCCCTACTTATACAGCCCAAAATGCCATTGGCCTTCTTGGCAACAAGGGTACACTGCTGACTCATATCCAGCTTCTCGTCCACTGTCACCCCTAGGTCCTTTTCCGCAGAACTGCTGCCTAGCCATTCGGTCCCTAGTCTGTAGCTGTGCATTGGGTTCTTCCGTCCTAAGTGCAGGACCCTGCACTTATCCTTATTGAACCTCATCAGATTTCTTTTGGCCCAATCCTCCAATTTGTCTAGGTCCTTCTGTATCCTATCCCTGCCCTCCAGCGTATCTACCACTCCTCCCAGTTTAGTATCATCCGCAAATTTGCTGAGAGTGCAATCCACACCATCCTCCAGATCATTTATAAAGTCCACTCAGTCCTCAGTTAATCGCTAAGACAAACAAGTTTATTTCCTGTGTCATGGGCACAAGGCAGCAGAGAGTGGGGTGGGGTGGGGAAGGGGTGGCTATACTGTGTCATGGGCTCAGGGCAGCAGAGGGTGGGGTGGGGAAAGGGAAGGGGTGGCTATACAGTGTCATGGGCACAGGGCAGCAGAGGGTGGGGTGGGGAAGGGGAAGGGGCGGCTATACAGTATCATGGGCACAGGGCAGCAGAGGGTGGGGTGGGGAAGGGGAAGGGGTGGCTATACTGTGTCATGGGCTCAGGGCAGCAGAGGGTCGGGTGGGGTGGGGAAGGGATGGCTATACTGTGTCATGGGCTCAGGGCAGCAGAGGGTCGGGTGGGGTGGGGAAGGGGTGGCTATACAGTGTCATGGGCACAGGGCAGCAGAGGGTCGGGTGGGGAAGGGGAAGGGGCAGCTATACAGTATCATGGGCACAGGGCAGCAGAGGGTCGGGTGGGGAGGGGAAGGGGGGGTGGCTATACAGTGTGCACAGGGGCAGAGGTGGTGGGGGCGTGGGGGGGAGCTATACAGTGTCATGGGCACAGGGCAGCAGAGGGTCGGGTGGGGAAGGGGAAGGGGCAGCTATACAGTATCATGGGCACAGGGCAGCAGAGGGTCGGGTGGGGAGGGGAAGGGGAAGGGGTGGCTATACAGTGTCATGGGCACAGGGCAGCAGAGGGTGGGGTGGGGAGGGGAAGGGGCGGCTATACTGTGTCATGGGCTCAGGGCAGCAGAGGGTCGGGTGGAGTGGGGAAGGGGAAGGGGCGGCTATACTGTGTCATGGGCTCAGGGCAGCAGAGGGTCGGGTGGGGTGGGGAAGGGGAAGGGGTGGCTATACAGTGTCCTGGGCACAGGGCAGCAGAGGGTGGGGTGGGGAGGGGAAGGGGTGGCTATACAGTATCATGGGCACAGGGCAGCAGAGGGTGGGGTGGGGAAGGGGAAGGGGTGGCTATACAGTATCATGGGCACAGGGCAGCAGAGGGTGGGGAAGGGGAAGGGGCGGCTATACTGTGTCATGGGCTCAGGGCAGCAGAGGGTCGGGTGGGGTGGGGAAGGGGGGGGGTGTCTATACAGTGTCATGGGCACAGGGCAGCAGAGGGTGGGGTGGGGAAAGGGGTGTCTATACAGTGTCATGGGCACAGGGCAGCAGAGGGTGGGGTGGGGAAGGGGTGGCTATACAGTGTCATGGGCACAGGGCAGCAGAGGGTCGGGTGGGGTGGGGAAGGGGAAGGGGTGGCTATACAGTGTCATGGGCACAGGGCAGCAGAGGGTGGGGTGGGGAAGGGGTGGCTATACAGTATCATGGGCACAGGGCAGCTATACAGTGTCATGGGCACAGGGCAGCAGAGGGTCGGGTGGGGAAGGGGCGGCTATACAGTATCATGGGCTCAGGGCAGCAGAGGGTGGGGTGGGATGGGGAAGGGGAAGGGGTGGCTATACAGTATCATGGGCTCAGGGCAGCAGAGGGTGGGGTGAGGTGGGGAAGGGGTGGCTATACAGTATCATGGGCTCAGGGCAGCAGAGGGTCGGGTGGGGAAGGGGAAGGGGTGGCTATACAGTGTCATGGGCACAGGGCAGCAGAGGGTGGGGTGGGGTGGGGAAGGGGTGGCTATACTGTGTCATGGGCACAGGGCAGCAGAGGGTCGGGTGGGGTGGGGAAGGGGTGGCTATACAGTATCATGGGCACAGGGCAGCAGAGGGTGGGGTGGGGAAGGGGAAGGGGTGGCTATACAGTATCATGGGCACAGGGCAGCAGAGGGGTGTGGGGATTGTCCGTCTCCCTGCAGAGGATGGGAGAATGGGGTATCTCGATGGTGTGGCTAGCTGGTGCGTAGGGCCCCGTGACGTTGCACCGGGGCCTGCAGGGGTCTGTTTCTTTGATACCCTGGGAACCATGCAGTAGTTACCTTTTTCTCTGTAGACCTTCATCCTGAGGTAACCCCGCAAGGAATCGGAGCCCAGGAGGACAGCTAGGATGTGTGCAGCCAAAGGGGGATATGGGATCTGCAGTGACCAACCAGCCTCCGGCTCAGGAGCTAAAGCAGCTATCCGGAGTGGATCCTTGGAGGAGAATCTCTGGTGCTGTGGAACGAACCTGCCAGACATAACTTCCAGCTTCTGTGCCGCCATCCCACAGGGACTGTCCTTTCTGTGGGACTTGTCGGTATATCTTTGAGCCACCCCACTCCCATTGCCAGACTATCCCACCTCCCTTAGCCAACATTAAATTATCCGCACAACCCCCCTATAAGGGCATGGGACCACTACACCCATTTTATGGAGGAAAAACTGAGGCATAGACAGACTAACTGTGATCACACAGGAGACCTGACCCCAGCTCCCCCTGCTTTAATCTGCTTGACCCCACTCCCTTCCACAAACCAGGAATGGACCTCAGGAGTCCTGGCTCCCAGCCCCCCTGCTCTGACCCACTTGACCCCACTCCCCTTCCAGAGATAGACCCCAGGAGTCCTGGATCCCAGGCCCGCACTAGACCTCACTACTCCCCTCTCCAAACCAGGGATGGACCCCAGGAGTCCTGCTTCCGAGCCTAGTGTCCTATCCGCTGACCCACCCGGTCCACCCATACGAATTGCCCATTGTGAGGGACTCGCCTCATGCCTTCCTACCTGCTCAGGCCTTGCTGCTGACCCCTGCTGGCCCATACAGATCCTTTGTGGGCTGCTTATCCAATCCCCATGTGTTCCCAGCCCCTGAAGCGCCTGCCGAGATGAGGCTGGGTGCCCAGCCTTGCCCTCAGCAGTGCTGGGCAGTTGGAATTTGGTTCGGGGCTGGAGGCCAGGCAATCTCCCACCCTGCTGGGTTCAGTCCTCTTCCCTCCAAGAGGCTGCCAGCAGCCTGGAAAACAACTCAAAGTGTGACGCGATAAAGAGGGCAGACTTTTGTCCCAGTCACAGGTCACCTCTAATCACGCTCGGGACATGGCAACCCTGGGTGCAGGAGACAGCTAATCCCCTGCGCTGAGATAGCTGCGGCTTGTGCCTCTGCGCATGGAGGCAGCAGTAACAGACAGGACTCCTGGGTTCTCTCCCCGACCCTGGGAGGGGAGTGGGGGCTGGTGGTTAGAGCAGGGGGGCTGGGAGCCAGGACGCCTAGGTTCTCTCCCTGACTCTAGGAAGGGAGTGGGGGCTGGTGGGTTAGAGGGAGGGGGACTAGGAGCCAGGACGCCTGGGTTCTCTCCCCAGCCCTGGGAGAGGAGTGGGGGCTGGTGGTTAGAGCAGGGGGGCTGGGAGCCAGGACTCCTGGGTTCTCTCCCCGGCTCTGGGAGGGGAATGGGGGCTGGTGGTTAGAGCAGGGGGGCTGGGAGCCAGGACTCCTGGGTTCTCTCCCTGGCTCTGGGAGGGGAGTGGGGGCTGGTGGGTTAGAATAAGGGGGGCTAGGAGCCAGGACTCCTGGGTTCTCTCCCTGACTCTAGGAAGGGAGTGGGGGCTGGTGGGTTAGAGGGAGGGGGACTAGGAGCCAGGACGCCTGGGTTCTCTCCCCAGCCCTGGGAGAGGAGTGGGGGCTGGTGGTTAGAGCAGGGGGGCTGGGAGCCAGGACTCCTGGGTTCTCTCCCCGGCTCTGGGAGGGGAATGGGGGCTGGTGGTTAGAGCAGGGGGGCTGGGAGCCAGGACGCCTGGGTTCTCTCCCTGACTCTAGGAAGGGAGTGGGGGCTGGTGGGTTAGAGGGAGGGGGACTAGGAGCCAGGACGCCTGGGTTCTCTCCCCAGCCCTGGGAGAGGAGTGGGGGCTGGTGGTTAGAGCAGGGGGGCTGGGAGCCAGGACTCCTGGGTTCTCTCCCCGGCTCTGGGAGGGGAGTGGGGGCTGGTGGGTTAGAACAAGGGGGGCTAGGAGCCAGGACTCCTGGGTTCTCTCCCTGACTCTAGGAAGGGAGTGGGGGCTGGTGGGTTAGAGGGAGGGGGACTAGGAGCCAGGACTCCTGGGTTCTCTCCCTGACTCTAGGAAGGGAGTGGGGGCTGGTGGGTTAGAGGGAGGGGGACTAGGAGCCAGGACGCCTGGGTTCTCTCCCCAGCCCTGGGAGAGGAGTGGGGGCTGGTGGTTAGAGCAGGGGGCCTGGGAGCCAGGACGCCTGGGTTCTCTCCCTGGCTCCATGGGCGGGCGCATATCTGAGGCACAGGGAGGCATTGCCTTCCCACACAGGGGCCGCAGCCAGGTCGGGGCGGGGGGGGGGGCTGTCTGAGGGCACCCGGGTCACGTGCCACCCCCCCCCCCCATACGCAGAGCTGCCCTGCTGTCTGGGGCTCCACAGACCCAGCAGCTGAACGCAGCCCCCTGGGTCCTAGAACCAGTCGCGCTGCCCCTCTGCGTGCTGGGAACCTTCCTGTTTCCTGTGGGGCTGGGTAGAGGGGTGGGAGAAATGAGGGAAGGGTCGTGGGGGTGGGGGGTAGAGGCAGTGGGGAAGGAAGTGGGTGGAATAGGGTGGGGAGGGGAAGGTGGGAATGAGGGGAGGGGAGTGGAGAAGAAAAGGGGAATGGCAGGGGGAAGTAGGAGCCCAGCATGAGGCGTCCCCTCAGCAGCCGCTGGGCCTCCCCCGTTAAGCAGGCCCATTGAACCCTCTCCCGGACAAGCCCCAGCCCCCTGCACCTGGATCCCTCCAACGAGCCTCCCACCCCACTGAGCTCCAACAACCTGCACCTAGACCCCCACCACATCAAGCCCCACTTCCCCAGCACCCAGACCCCCCCACCAAGTCCCATCTCTCACAACCAGACCCCCCCAGACCCCTGCTGAGCCCAACCACCATCACCTGGATCCCGCAGAATCCCATGGCCCCTGCACCCAGAACCCAGCAACGAGCCCCTGTGCATCCAGATCCCCCCACCGAGCTGCCCACACCCAGATACCTCTCGCCCCACACTTGGATCCCTCCACACTTGGATCCTGCTGGGCTGAGCCCGCCCTCACCTGGTGCGCCTGGCACAGGGGGACAGGGCTCTGGGTTGTTTGTGGGGCAGGCCCAGCTCTTGCATGTGTCAGGGTCGGGTGCAGCCTCACTGCTGAGTCACTGTACTGGAGGAGGTGGGGGCTTCAATTTGATTGCCCACCTCAATGCAGCTGGTGGCCTGTGCTCCCCACTGCTAGAAATGTGAAAAGCTGGGGTTTTATTAATGCCCCTTCTCACCATCACAGACTTCCAGTGTGACGTTGGACCTGTCTTTTAAGGCTTGATCTCAAGGGTAGTCTTTCCATTGATTTAAAAAGGCAGCAGAAAGGGGACTTAATTAGCCTGTGCCTCAATTTCTCCATCTGAAAGACAGGGATAATAAGAACACAAGCCTGCCTCACAGGAGTTTGTGTAAATTCCTTGGTTTTGGTTAGGTGCTTTGAGGTCCTCAAATGGAAAGTGCTTAGAAGTGCAATTTTTCAAAGTGTTTTTTACAATTCCCAAACCTTTATGTTTTGTTCATGCAGTAGGCCCTCCTCCTGGATCACAGGAGAATTTCAGTTTGAGACTTTATGGGACATAGGGTGACCAGATATCCCAATTTTATAGGGACAGTTCTGATTTTGGGGTCTTTCTCTTATATAGGCTCTTATACCCCTGTCATAAATATAAAGGGAAGGGTAAACACCTTTAAAATCCCTCCTGGCCAGAGGAAAAACCCTTTCACCTGTAAAGAGTTAAGAAGCTAAAGGTAACCTCGCTGGCACCTGACCAAAATGACCAATGAGGAGACAAGATATTTTCAAAGCTGGAGGGGGAGAAACAAAGGCTCTCTCCGTCTGTGTGATGCTTTTGCCAGGAACAGAAAAGGAATGGAGTCTTAGAACTTAGTAAGTAATCTAGCTAGATATGCGTTAGATTCTGTTTTGTTTAAATGGCTGATAAAATAGTTGTGCTGAATGGAATGTAGAGTCCTGTTTTTGTGTCTTTTTGTAACTTAAGATTTTGCCTGGAGGGATTCTCTATGTTTGGAATCTGATTACCCTGTAAGGTATTTACTAACCTGATTTTACAGCGGTGACTTTTTTACTTTTTTTCTTCAATTACAAGTCTTCTTTTAAGAACCCGATTGCTTTTTCATTGTTCTTAAGATCCAAGGGTTTGGGTCTGTGTTCACCTATGCAAATTGGTGAGGATTTTTATCAAGCCTTCCCCAGGAAAGGGGGTGTAGGGTTTGGGGAGGATTTTGGGGGGAAACATGTTTCCAAGTGGGCTCTTTCCCGGTTATATATCTGTTAGACGCTTGGTGGTGGCAGCGATAAAGTCCAAGGGCAAAAGGTAAAATAGTTTGTACTTTGGGGAAGTTTTAACCTAAGCTGGTAAAAATAAGCTTAGGGGGTTTCATGCAGGTCCCCACCTCTGTACCCTAGAGTTCAGAGTGGGGAAGGAACCTTGACAATCCCCCACCCCCTGTCCTGATTTTTCACCCTTGCTGTCTGGTCACTCTCATGGGATGACACCTCCTCCCACTGTGTGATGCTGGAGCAGCTGGCCGGAAGCGGGGAAGCAGGGCCCGGCCAGGCCTGCTCCCATCATAACTTTTAAAGTAGGAGGCGGGAGGGCTAGGCAAAGATGCAGGCAGGCCAGCCAGCCCAGTCAGTGTGCTGCTGGGAGGGCTGGATCACTTATGGCACCAGACACCCGATGCTGTCCTGTCCTCTGGGCCAGTGCCAGCTAAGTGGGACTGGGCGGCTGAGGCTGAGCAATAACTGGCCAGGAGCAATAAATGGCCAGGAGCAATGGATCCCCCTGGGCCAGAGCCCTTCAGAGCATTCCCACGGATAAGCAATGGGCTGGGGGCAATTAGGTGTTTTGTATTTGTTCAAATTCTGGAATGGGCAGGGGGAGCACGGGGGGGGGGGGGGAGAGCTTGAGTGGGAGGAGCCTCGGGGGGGGGGAGAAGGGTGTGGAGGGAAGGAAGGGGGCAGAGGGAGGAGGGACATGGTGGTAGGATAGGACTCAACTCTTTTCAGTGGATGGGAGATTGCATTTGCCTGTTGGCCAGCTCCTCATGAGAATGGGGTTGGGGATTTGGTTCCTTCACCCCTCGGGATATAGCGTCTGCTGGTCTGGTGCATAAAGCTGGCATCACCATGCTGCCTCCGTGGGACTTTTTGCCTCCTTGGCTCTGTGAGCTGAGCGGGTGTCGTTGTTAAAGTAGCAGCCAGCCTTTATTTTCCTGCCCGGAGCCATGTCTCTGGGCAGCTCTTATTCATTGCCTGAGGCACTTGCTGCTGGTGAACGTGTAAACACGGGAAGTGCTCCAGCTTAGTCTGTGTGAAGTGAAAATGAGGGGGCAGCTTTTGCCATCTGATTCCAGCTATTTCTTCCTGTCAGGGGGCAAATGCCAGTTCAGGGTGAGGCCCGGCACCTTGTTTTACTGTGTGAAGAAAGGGCAGAGCTTTCTCAATTAGCTTTCACTGCTGCTTGCCATTATATGTTCCCCAGGATCAACGAGAAGGGGTTGGGGCACTTGCAGGCTGCCCGCATGTCCGCTATCCGCATATAAAAAAACCTATGACTGACATTTTTTATTCCCAAGATTAGTGCTTTTAATTAGGTACCTGCTGCATGTCTAGTCTTCACACACACACCATCTGCACAGAGTGGAGAATATGCTCCATTTTGTTTAGAAAGAAATTGCTGAAAAGTGGAGGGTTTTTTATCAAATATCATTTACTTGGGTTCAGGAATTTGGCTGGAAGGGGACAAGCACGCGGTGGCGGGGAGGGGGAGGGAACAGTGGGGAGGGGGTGGAGCCTCAGCGGAGCAAGGGGCATGGCCTGGGGCAGAGCAGGAGTGGAGTATGGGCGGGGGCAAAGGCAGAAGAGGCGGGCTGGGAATTACTGCCTCCTTCCCAAGTGGAAGCTTCACCCACTGCCCATGCCTGGTTAGGGGAGGGGAGTAGAGTCTAGTGGATTAGAGTGAGGGGGGCTGGGAGCCAGGACTCCTGGGTTCTCTCCCTGGCTCTGGGAGGGGAGTGGGGTCTGGTTCGTTAGAGCAATGGGGGCTGGGTTTTGTTGACGGATGGAGCTCTCAGTGCTTATCTGGCTCCCATTACTGTCGTGTCTGAACATCTCACACTTTGAGCATGATGAGTTCACCCTCACAGCCCCCTCTGAGGCAGGGAGCGATGGTTATCCCCCAAGTACAGATAGCATGGAGGCTTCAGGTGACATGGGCAGTTTTTGGAAGAGAATCACTATGCTGCAAAATAGCCTCGTGGGGCCAGTGGAAGCTACGTTGTATAACCAGCCCAGTGACTCCAGTGAGGTTACTCCAGATTTCCACCGGCCTGAGGGAGTGGAGAATCCGGTCGGTATGTGTATTACTGTATTACCTTGAACCATCCAGGCACTTTGTCCATGGCAACAAATAGTATATTTTTACAGAGCAGAAAGTACTGGGCCAGACAATCAATTGGTGTAAACTGGCATTAATTCCAGTGAAGCAACACTGATTTACACAAGCTGGGATCTGGCCCCATTGACTCCAATGGAGCCACGGTCCATTGACCCCAGCTGGGATCTGATCTCGGTCACCGTATGTCTGTGCAGCGCCTGGCGCGCCGGGGGTCTGATCTGGGTCACCGTGTGTCTGTGCAGCTTAACTACCTTAAAAATTTGAAGGGTTTTTCTGATAACTAACCTAGGGTTAGTTATTCTCCCTTGCTGTAGATTTAACCCATTACTTCTTGTCCTGCATTCAGGGAACACTGAGAACAATCGATCACCGTCTGCTTTAGAACAGCCCTTAATATATCTGAAGACTGGTCCCGCCAGTTCTTCTTTTCTCAGGATTAAACATGCCCAGTGTTTTTAACCTTTTCTCATAGGTCATGTTTTCTAGACCTTTAATCATTTTTGTTGCTCTTCTTTGGACTTTCTCCAGTTTGTCCACATCTTTGCTGAAATGTGGCGCCCAGAACTGGACACAGTACTCCAGCTGAGGACGTATCAGTTCTGAGTAGAGTGGAAGAATTCTTCTGTATTGCTTACGACACTCCTCCCAATATATCCCAGAATGATGTTTGCTTTTTTTGCAACAGCATTACACTCATTGACTCATATTTAGTTGTGATCCACTATGACCCCCTCAGATCCCTTTCTGCAGTACTCCTTCCTAGGCAGTCATTTCCCCTTTTTTAGGTGTGCAACTGA